GTCTAAGACCTAAATAAAAATTACAATAATTGGAAAGTACGTAATATTAGGTACTTTCCTCAAGAATAGCTGCAGTTATGTGTCAGGCATTAAAAATTGTTTACAGCCCGGCCGGGCGTGGCTCAGCCGTTGAGCGTCAACCTAGGATCCAGGCAATCGGGGTTCAATTCACAGTCAGGGCACATGCCCGGGTTGCGGGCTCGATCAATGACTTTCTCATCATTGATGTTTCTCTCTCTCTCTCTCTCCTTTCCTCTCTCTGAAATCAATAAAGACATATTAAAAAAACACCTGTTTACAGATGAGAAAACTGAAGCTCATTTGAATTAACTTGCTCAAGGCCACATTTCTAGTAAGCAGCCAACCCAGGACTCAAAACAGCAGCCACTCTGGCCCTAAAGGATATATGCTATTTTCATAATCCAAATTTTCACAACCTTAGCACTACTGACATTTTGGGATGAATAATTCTTTGTTGTAAGGGGCTGTCCTGTGCACTGCAGGATGTTTAAAGTATCCCTGGATTTTGCGTACTAGACACCAAGTAGCACCCTTCCCATCTGTTTTGATAACCAAAAGTATTTCCGAACATTGCCAAATGTTTGCTGGGAAGCAAAACCGCCCCCAGTTGAGAACTAATGCCATAATACCATGCTGTTTCTATATGCTGGCTATCACACAGTTAAAATGCACACTTTTTCTAAGATGACAAAAATGGTATTTTTCATAAAGCAGTTTTCCAAAGTAAGTTCAAATTAAAGAAGCTGGCAGTTTAACTAGAACCTTTGCTGAAGGCTATACAGGGCCAACCTGAGGCTATGGTTAAGAGCATGCTGCTTGTGCAGAAGAACCCTTGACAACTGAAAATATATATATATTTTTAGTAATTCAGTAGTTTGTGCTGAAAGCAAAAGAAGGACAGCAAAAGAAGAGGGGCATTCTATGGGCAGTTCCCAGAGTGACGGAAGCAGAACTGAGGTTTAGAAGACAAAAGGGAGAAGTCCCTAAGCCATAGGGACTTAGGAGAACTGAACTCACAAACAAAGAGCAAAGCACATGTGATGGGGCTGTCAACAGTCTCTGGACTGCAGAGTCTAGCATAAATATGTTAACTTAAGTTGGAATACCTCAAGATGCCTCAGAGAGAAATAAAAAACCATAGTAAAGAAAGAAAATCCTAACATATGGGCAAACAACTAGAGAATGATCACCATCACTCAAGAGTACATTTTTCTTGCAAATATCATCTTAGTGAGAGAAAATCTTTTAAATTCTGACATCATGGGAGCTATTTTCCTGCAGCTCCAAAGTGTTTATTCATTCTGAATACAGATTTACTTTCAAAATAATGGACTAATAAAATCTGCATCTGAAAATAGTTTTTTTTAATCCTTACCTGAGGATAATGTTTTTACTGATCTGAGAGAGGAAGGGAGAAAGAGAGAGAGAAACATCAATGTGAGAGAAATGTCAACAGGTTGCCTCCCGTACGCACCGAGGGGACTGAACCTGCAATCTGGGTTATGTGCTTGACCATCGAACCCACAACCTTTTGGTGTTCAGGATGATGCTCCAACCAACTAAGCCATCTGGCTAGGACTGAAAATAGTTTAGGTCTAATTCCCTCAGAAAAGATTTTATTATGTGAATGTGTACAGATATCATCAAAGGAATCAGAACCTTTTAAGTTAATACTGTAGTAATAACGTTAACCTTTGCCATTAGGTTCCAGCAGCAATGCTCCTCTCATGAGCACCCTTCCATAAGCCAGGCCCTTTAATAGGTGCTTTTTATGTAACAGCTCAACTAATACTCCCCAAACTATCCAAGATGGTATCCCTCACTATACAGAAAAAGAAAGAGGCTCAGAGAAGTTAAGCCAGGACTTAACAGAGTAAAAACTGTTTACTTCAAAGTCTATCTTTTCTCTTTTGAATAGCAACTCATTGAAAATCAGCTTTAACTAGAGTATAAATGGTAAAACAGCTGCAGGAAAATAAGGTATGTGTTATCACCCAAAACAGAGAATGAAAAATATAATAAAATTCTATTACTTATAGCAAGGTACACTACTCCCAGGAACCAGCCTGGAGATCAACATAACTCTAAGAGTAGTCAGAGCTTAATCAAGATTTTACTCTAAGATTTCAAAGTCATTTCTGCAGATGTTCTAATGCTTTGACATCTAGGAGGCCCTTCTGAAGTGAGCTACAAGAAAACTACTAAGGCAGAATCCCCCAGAAGCATTCCTTTCTTTTGCAGGCATTCTAAACTTTGCTGTTGCAGTGCTGCCCCCATGTGGAGCAACTTCTGAAAAAAAGTGGAACAAACGTACCTCTTAAGAGCAGTAAAATAAGACTCTTACCCATCATCAGAGTAAGAGGATTTTAAGATCTCCATATTAAAACAGTTCTCAGATAACTAAAAGCCTTATATATGTTCAAAATTTTAACCAGTTTGAGAAAATGAAACAGTTCTAAATGTTTCTGTGTGTATACGCACATTTAAATTCTATTGTATATATACATCCATGAGGGCAGTGACAAGTAATGGGTATGGGGAATCAGAACTAGGTGAGAATCCTGGCTACATTACCACTAGCTGTATGACTTTGGAATAATTCTTTAGCCTCTCTGAGTGCACACTGCTTTACATGGAATAGCATCTACTTAACTGGGAAAGTATGAGAACTGAGTAAAATATTTCAAGTAAAAGCATCTATCACTATGTCTAGCATAGAATGCACTTAAAAATCAGTGGTATAATGTCAGTCGAGTTACTTTTGGTAAAAAGTAAGACATACTATTGAGTTGAAAGTATGAGTTCGATATCAAAAGTAGGCATGTGCTGCCCTGGCTGGTGTGGCTCAGTGGTTAGAGCATCAGCCTGCACACCAAAGGGTCGTGGGTTCACTTCCCAGTCAAGGCCACGTAACTCTGTTGCCGGTTCTCTCCCCACCCCAGGTTGGGGTCTCTCTCACACATCAATGTTTCTCTCTCTTTCTCTCCCCACTTCTCTCTCTCCCTCCTAACTCTCTCTGAAAAGCAATGGAAAAATATTTTCAGGTGAGGATTAACCAAACCCCCCCACCCCACAACTTGGTACCACCTAAACATTTTATAAAATAGATACTATTGCCTTATAAACTTATTTCTTTGTGGAATTTTTAAAAAAGTGTCACATGGGCCTGGCTGGTGTAAGCACAGTGGTTGAGAGTCAACCCATGAACCAGGAGGTTGCTGCTAGATTCGGGTCAGGGCACATGCCCAGGTTGCAGATCCCGAGAAGGGGGCGTGCAGGAGGCAGCAAATCGATGATTCTCTCTCGTCATTAATGTTTCTAACTCTTTCTCCCTCTCCCTTCCTCTCTCTGAAATCAATAAAAACATTTTTTTTAAAAAAGTGCTACATGGTACTGCTTGAGGGGAAAAAAGGCAGGGTTGAATTAGAATTCTAATACTGGTGATGATACCCTGGCAGAAGTCAGAGTTTAAACATACACACCCACACCCGCTTCTATGTCTATGTGGTTGAAAGATTCCTGATGGCAGTACCAGAGTACTTCAAAATAATGTGGGTTGCTTCATCCTTTGACCCTGATACTAAATTTAATGGACGAGCAGAAGCCAAGGCTCCCAAAGAAGAAGATAAACCAAATGAAATGTCAAAGCAGAGATCTGAGCAGGCAATTTGCCAGTGAGAGACAATGTCTATTTCAAGGCAAATTCCAACTCTATTCAAAAAGTTCAAAAAAATATTCAGAGGTTATCCACTGATTAACTCACAATGTTATTCACCTCCTTGTAAATAACGCACTAGGCAAAGGGGAAGAGAAAATGGCTATATTCCCTCATCATCTTGTAACGATACTTACAGCTCAATACAAATGAGCTTTAGTTACTAGCAGAGTCAATGTACTACTTGGGACTTGGCTCTCCTTTCAATTATGGGCAAAGTTTAACATGTTAATAAGAGAAATAAAAGGTTCCAAAGCTTTAAGGTGTTAAGTTACATTCTGGCTGCCAAACATTTAAAACATGATCAAGGTGCTAAAAAGAATCTTGTCCTGGAATTCTCCTATAGAAGAATGCATTACAATAACTAGGGAATAAAGATAACTTTGATTCAGTTTCAATTCCCACACCACCAGAAAATACCACAAACATCTATCTGAAGAAATAATCTTTTAAAAACTGATATGAATTTAATGTGAAGAAAATTTGAAAATGATGAAAGGACTGGTTGTTTCTAAGCCAGCGATTTTCAACCTTCTTCATCTCATGACACACATATGCTAATTACTAAAATTCTGTAGCACATCAAAAATATATATTTTTTGCCAATCCAACAAAAAAGAAATTAAAAAGGTATTAATTTTGATTCATCCACACCAGACTGCTATTGTTGTGTTGGCTATTGTAATTTCTTTTAACATCTTTTTAAATTGATTTCAGAGAGAGGAAGGGAGAGGGAGAGAGATAGAAACATCAGTGATGAGAGAGTCGTCATTGATCAGCTGCCTCCTGCACGCCCCCCACTGGGGATCGAGCCTGCAACCCGGGTATGTGCCCTGACCAGGAATCGAACTATGATCTCCTGGGTCATAGGTCAATGCTCGATTGCTGAGCCATGCAGGCCGGGCTACTGCAATTTTCTTTTTATTTGACAATCTAGGAAAAGAAGTCAGTGGCCCTGACTAAACAGTCAGGTATTGCACGTTGTAAAAATTCTTACGGCACATCGGTTGAAAATCGCTATTCTAAGCAAATACAGGGTAAGTACGATACAAAGGTTTGCTTTAAGACTCTTGTGTTTTAGTACTTGGTTTTTACCTCAGAAACACCAAGATGTGAGATAGGCAATCTGTGGCACACACAGAAGTCATGCTTTCCACAGCTAACCTATGGTTCAATGTCCCAAAGGTAAGATTTGTTTTAAACATGCTTTTTAAAGTAACCTATTTTAAATACTGCTCTCTTTATAAAAGCAGAAGCTTATTACCATTGGATTTGAATCTGCTATGAGATCCCGCAGAGAATCCAGAAATCCCTGATCTTCCACCATTTGGGCATTGATATCATGGAGTTTTGCCACGCAGACTGCTGCTGTTTTCCGAACATAGGGATCTTCATCCTTCAAGCACTTGCGGAGGGGCTCACAGAGATATTCTGTAATCTTGTCCACCCGGATGCACCCCATGGTTCTGACTGCCAAGGCCCGAATCAGAGGATTGGGATCTTCACAGTCCTACAAAAAACAATCCTTGGCAACTATAGGTATACACGGTGACTGAAAGTAAACAGTCTAGTTTGTATAAGCCATAAAAGAATATTCAATAATGCAACCTTCCAGTTACAGTCTACATCAGAACCCAAACCTCCCATGCTATTCCTTTCCTTTCCTAAGTACAAATCTTAGTTGCCTGTAAGAGTCTAGGTTAGCAATTAATTTAACTTTTATATACACAATGAAGAAACTCCCAGGATTAGCTCCAGGGCTGAGCAAAAGCCTAGTGAGCTGGTGTTACCATCCCCATGGCCATTTGTGGGCCTTCCCTAAAAACAAAAAAGGCCTTTTGGCTTGTATTCTGGTACAGGAGAAAGGAGAGAGAAAAAAAAGAACTGGAAAGATGAGTTCCACTCCACGGACAGTGCAAAAATAGCAAGTAGGGAGAAAAAAGGGCTTGGCCTACAGACAAGAAAGCAAAGGAGAGCAAAGAAGCTGGTGAGGGCCAAACATAAGTTCCTAGATTAAGCAGCAGAAGGCCCTCTGAGACCGTAATTAACATACATTTCTCCTTTACTAGCAGGTGTTCTTCAAAAAACAGTACAAACAAAACACTTAGTAAGAAGGAACACTCCTTAAATTGCCCTACTTTAAAAAATTTATTTAAACATCATAAATCTAGATGTGTGCCAACTTCAAAAAATGTAAACTAAATTCTTTCTAATGAGCTAGTCTGTCTACAAACCACCAGACCAAATGAAATGTTCTTTGATTCTGTACAATGTAGCTAAACAGGAAAAGAACAAAAATTTCCTAAGAAGGAAGAAAACATATGGTTATGCGATCTCTATTGAAGGGTAGGGTGAAGGGGGAAGTGGAAGAGGGTATAGGGGGCATAAATGGTAATGAAAAAAAACAAAAGAAAAATAAAGTGCCCAGCTGGTGTGGCTTAGTGGTTGAGTGTAGACCTATGAACCAGGAGGTTACGTTTCCACTCCTGGTCAGGGCACAAGCCTGCGTTGCAGGCTCAGTCCCCAGTGGGGGACATGCAGGGGGCAGCTGATCAATGACTCTCTTTCATCATCGATGTTTCTCTCTCTCTCTCTCCCTTCCTCTCTCTGAAATCAATAAAAACATTTTTTTAAAAAAAGAAAGTAATACTGACTAAATCCTCAAAAAAAAAGGTATCTCTTTTTAAATGCAGATTAAATTCCAGATAGAAAAGAATATATTATTAGGAATAACCCCATTATTATGTTCATCAAATTTAATGAGCAAAAATTTGACTGAATATTCAATAATTTAAGGAAATTTTTAATGGTCAATTTTTAAAGATGTAACCATGGTATTGTGGTTATCTTTTAAAAAGAAATCTTATTCTGACAAATATAAGGATGAAATGATTTTTCATCTTTACGATGTTTGGGATTTGCTTTAAAATTATCCACTAGGAGAAGGATGAAGGTCAGGAATGTATAGGGAATATAAATCAAACAAGACTGATCATGAGCTGGTAACTTCTAAAAGTGCAAGATGGGTATTTTTAATATTCCCTCTACTTGAATACATTTGAAATTTTCCATAGTAAAAAAAAAATCAAATGTTGTTAAGACCTATTAAGTAATACAAAATAGTAGTACCTCCGCAAGGCTGGAGTGGCTCAGTGGCTGAGCACGGACCTATGATCCAGGAGGTCACGGTTCGATTCCCTGTCAGAGCACATGCAAGGGTTTTGGGCTTGATACCCAGCAGGGGGTGTACAGGAGGCAGCCGATCAATAACTCTCTCATCACTGATGCTTCTCTCTCTCTCGCTCTCCCTTCATTTCTCTTAAGTCAATAAAGATATATTTTAAAAAATAAATAAACAGTACTTCCTGTAATTTCCACTACTGACCTGTAAGCACACTTTCTACAAAGATAAAACAGGTTACTGATACTACAATAATATGCCTACCCTATGTCAGCCTTGTGAGCCTTTGTCAGCTCACGAAACAGTGAGGTTTCACCTGGCTTTCTTCCCCCATCTGACAAGGATGCACCAAGCCCAGCCAACAGAAGGCTCACCATATGGTCTGAACTGGATGACAAATGCTGGCATATAGAATGCCTAAAACACGAACATTCCTGGTCACTGCCAGTATTTCTCTAGAGGCCCTCTTTTGGAACAGAGATTGCTTATCTGCAATGCAGACAGTAACTATATCAAGAGATACTTCTGAAAAGGTTATTTGAAGTAGAAGAGGCTGCTCTTGAGTCCCTGAAGTTACCTTCACAAAGCTGTTGACAGCCATGATGGCCATGTCTGGCTGACTCTTGGCATAATTCATCAAGTAGAGATACACAAGCTTTTTTAGTTCCAGGTTGTCAGTCTGCATACAGTTCACTACATCTGGAAAGAGAGAGCTAAGAAGAGAGGAGAAAAGAGAAAGGAAAGGTAAATAGACAGTACCAATCTGTTCAATAAAAAATGAAAAAAATAAGCCTTATTTTACAAGTGATTTGATGCAAGGACAAATGTCCCCACAGTGACAATAATTATTACAGAAATGAATTACTAAAGAAATTATAGTGCTGGTCCCAAGAGGTCTCTAAAAATAGATTTTTTAAGCCCTGGCCAGGTAGCTCAGTTGGTTAAGAGCATCATCCTAATACACCAAGGTTTCGGGTTTGATCCCAGTCAGGGCACATACAAGAAATCAACCAATGAATGCATAAATAAGTGGAACAACAAATCAATGTTTCTCTCTCTCTCCACTCTCTCTAAAACTTTTTTAAAAATAAGAATTTTTAAAAACTTTTTATTATAAAAATTTTCAAACAAAAGTAGAGAAAGCAATATAATGAACCCAGTGTACCTATCATCCAGCTGCAAACAAATACTGATACATGCCCAATCTTGTTTTACTCTCCCTTCCCTAGTCCCTACTCCATCTAGTTGCTCTGGATTATTTTTAAACAAACCCTAGACATCATATCATTTCATACATAATATTTAGTACATAGCTTTCCAATTTTTAAAAACTCACTATTTTGATCACATACACTGATTAATAATTCTTTGTATCACTTCACTGTAATTTCAAAGCACTACAGCTCCTGAGTCCTTGTGATATGACCCTCTATTTTCTTTTTTTTCTTTTTTTAATATATCTTTTATTGATTCCAGAGAGAGGAAAGGAAAGGGAGAGAGAGAGAGAGAGAAACATCAATGATGAGAGAGTCATTGATCGAGCCCGCAACCGGGGCATGTGCCCTGACCAGGAATCGAACCCTGATAGCCTGGATCCCAGGTCGACGCTCAACCACTGAGCCACGCCCGGCTGGGTAACCCTCTATTTTCAATAGCTTCCTTGCTTTCTGGCACAATAAGATGTTCCGTTCAGGCTCATTTTGTCCATTTCTAATCCCACAACTGGAATCTAGTCATTTCTCTAAGACATCATGAATCCCTTATTGTGGAACTTATTTACTTTTAACATTACACAGTCAGACAAATGAAAATTTCAGTGTACTCAAATATAAAAGTTTAAAGTCTTCTCAAGTTCAAGTCATTTCATGATTTACCATTCTCCTATAAAGCCAAAGGAAATAAATTTATGTTTCCATTCACAAAGTATCACCATTAGCTTGAAAGTGTTGAGTTTCTCACATTTTAAAGTGTAAGCTGCATTTTAAAAAATATAGGTTATCTATAATTTTATGGGAAGTTAGCAATTAACCTTCCTCTTGAAGCTTTATCTAATTACCTTATAAATTAAATACTTCTAAATATCTTCTAATACAGAAAAAAAGGGAAATAACTGGTCACATGGTATAGCTCCTATACACATACAAAAACCATAAACAGAAAAAAGAAATTATTTACAAATAGGAAGATAAATGGCAAAGTCAAAGAATCCACCATATCTCCAATGAACCAATGCTTCTGCCCTGGAAGGCAAACTATTTGCTTAATTTGCATGTGTGTACCTTATGTAGTTTCATGTGATGCAGAAAATTAACAAACACTAACAACATTCTCCAAAAATGAGTGTTCTTTCCATTTCTTGGGGGAATAGCTCATATGCAAAACAACTGTAAAACAAGTAAATAAACGTGAAACATTAACCAATAGGAAACTGAAGATCCTAAATAATTTAATTCCAACCACCTGCACAAGATCAGGAAGATCTTGATCAAGAATAGTCTAAGTTCTAGATAGAGACTGTTAAGTACCAACCTATAAAGCTAGAAACCTGAACTTTCCAATATGGTAGCCACTAGGCACATGTGGTCTACAATGTGGCCTGTCCAAATTGAGATGTATACAGGGCGTCCCAAAAAATTGTACACACACTTTGAATAATTATTAATTCCAATGGGTTAAATCTGAAAAGAATTTTTTCTCTCTTGTTATATAATTACCTACATAATATCAATTTTTTGCCTCTTGGCCTGCTAAGCCTAAGTATTTACTATCTTGCCCTTTACAGAAGTCTGCTGACCTCTGACATTCATGGTCACCTAACAGCAAGTTAAGAACCAAATGTGCTGCCTGGCCGGGCGTGGCTCAGTGGCTGAGCATCAATCTAGGATCCAGGAGATCAAGGTTCGATTCCTGGTCAGGGCACATGCCCGGGTTGTGGGCTCGATCCCCAGTTGGGGGCGTGCAGGAGGCAGCTGATCAATGACGACTCTCTCATCATTGATGTTTCTATCTCTCTCTCCCCCTTGCTCTCTCTGAAATCAATAAAGACATATTAAAAAATAAATAAAAAGAACCAAATGTGCTTATGTGCCAATAAATAAAACTCCAACAACAAAAACCTGCCTGCCCCAGAAGAGTAGCACCTGGGGCACAAGAAGATACTGAGTCACTTCCTACTGCCACCGTTTCCACCTGAGCTCTAGATGTGGTTAGGGAAGCTGCTCGCACTTTTTGGGTCTCATGACCCCTTTAAAACACTTCTTTTTTTTTTTTTTAAACAGATCTTTATTGATTTCAGAGAGAGGAAAGGAGGGGAGAGAGAGAGAGAAACATCAATGATGAGAGAGTCATTGATCGGCTGCCCAGCCCGCACCCCGGGCATGTGCCCTGACCGGGAATCGAGCCCCGATCTCCTGGATCCTAGGTCGATGCTCAACTGCTGAGCCACGCCTGGCCGGGCTAAAACACTTTTAAAAATTACTGAGATCCCCAGAGTTTTTGTTCATATGGGTTATATAACTATTAATATTTTACCATATCAGGAATTAAAGCTGAGAAAACTGTAAAATACTAATCCATTTAAAATAACTATAATAAATGCATTTCATAGTAACATAAATATCATTTTAAGGTAAAAACTTATTTTTTAAATGAAAGAGATAGCATTGCTTTACATGTTTGCAAATCTCTTTAATGTCTAGTTTAAATAAAGACAGCTGGATTCTCATCTGCTCTGACATTTAACCTGTTGTAGAATATTGTTTTGGTTAAAGTGTCCAGCTTCATACATGTACATAAACCAGAAAAGGGAGTATTTTAATAGCTTTTTCATATAACTGGATACCCTTCTTTAACACATTAAAGCCAGACAAATGGTTGTTTCTCGTCTTTTATAGTCCACAAATGGTAGTTTCTTGAAAGTTAGTTTCAATGTGCAGTCTGATACAATACACTTTTTATATTTGGTTGCGTTAAAACCTACTGATTTATCATTTATGTTGAATGGATTTCTTATCCATGCATAATTTTGTGATATATGCACTGGTCATTTAGAAAATATTGGTTCAATGAGTTATACAGTTTTCCCCGAAGTTGGCATGTTTCATTATGTAACAGCAAATAAGCACATTCATTAATTTCACCACCAATCTCATTAGAAAAGTACTGGGAAGCTGTCAAGCTCACGACAGGAGACACAAGTTTTCCAACACTCTAATTTTTACTTTAAAGCTTAAATTTATCTAATGTCATTTTTCCTCCTTGAAGTGACAGGTTCAGTTTGTTCATTTTTGATAAAATGTCTCCCAAATACTGAAGTCTGATTAACTATAATTTGTCTGTCAATCACACTTTCACATGAAAATAGTGTTCCCAATTCAAACATTCATGCGTGGGGTTTTTTTTACAATTCAACTATCACTCTGCTATACAGCAGAAGTGCTTTATGCATAATTCCTATTTTATTATACAGAATATTAAAAAGGTTTAAAGGTTTAATAAAATAAATCTTGAATTCTTCATGAAGAACAGTCCTAAGTGAAACTGCCCTTTTTCTCCTACAAGTACACGGTGAAGAATACAATGACTACTGCTATAGTTTGGCACCAATGCCTTGATTCATGCTACCACTCCAGCAGTGCAAATATCAACACAATGAAAAAGGCTAATAACACCTAAGTATTATTGTAAGAATAGCTTTCACCTCATGGACCCCCTGAAGGATTTTGGGAATCCTCAGGAGACTGCAGACAATCCTTACTTATTTCCAAATGATACTGCTAAATTACAGAAATTAAAACAAACAAATAAATAAAAACAGATTTTGTTACCAGTGATTTTTATCTTAAATTCAGGAACAGAATGTAAAGTTGTCAAGTTGAGGGCACCAGCTTGAGCCAGTTAAAGAACAAGAAATGTGCGCTCTGTTTCTCAGTATATTTTTATCATCTTCTACAGCTACCTCAGCAACAGATCTGTAACTGTGCCAGCTCTCGGGAGGTTTGATGCTAGATCAGTATGGAACAAATATCAAACTGGTTTCACTCTTCCAAAAAAACCCACAACAAAACAAAACAAACTTATGTCACAGAATTAACATAAAAGAAACTATACTTTCTGGTGATGTTTTCAGGGACCAACCCATTCTTATAGGTTCTATGATTATAACAATTTTAAGTGAAAAGCAGTAAAAGCCATAAAATAGGGTATGGGTCTAAAGTGGCCAACGGTAGGAGTGACTGCCCTTACCTAACATCCTTCCCCACGGTCATAGCAGCAATTACTTTCTTCACAGCCTCCTTCCTCTTTTCCTTCTTTTCATTGTTGAGTTCAGCCTTTAATTCAAAAATTTCTCCTATAAGAGAAGATAGCAAAATGAAAGCATTCCCCCGATGATTCTATGCACAAACACAGCTGAAAATCACTGCTCTACTCTAATTAGTACTTTAAGAAGTTCAAGGGGGGGGGTAGGAGGGATTGAGCAAAAAAGAGAAAGAACTCATGGAAATGAACAACAGTGTGGTAAATGTGGGTGGGAGGGGGGGTGGAGGTGGAAGAGGGGATAGTGGGGATAAATGGTGTTGGAAAAATAAGTTAATGGGGGAATAAAAAAGTTTTATGAGCTTTTATTCAATCACTCTAACAACAGAAACAATAATCTTAAAGTTTCAAGAATCGTACAAACCACAGTCATTTCTAAAGGAACAATCTCGAAAAACTGACTGCTCTGGCCCTGCACTGTGAAATGGCAGGGCTGTCACTATTATTTTAAGGCCCAGGCTCACTTATCTTCAGAAAGCTGGAGCTGAAAGAAGAAAAGGTAACAACCCTCAAATGGTTTCAAAAATATATACCACCGCGCCCATGAAAAAGAAGTCAACTACTCCCACTTCAATCCCATCGATACCCGAAACCCTTCTACAATACTGCCTCATTTTTCTCCACCTTTAGGTTGGTTATTGGTGTTCATTTTAACCAGGCCTCATTCACCAGTATAGAAATAGTGGGGACAGCAAACTGATCTGCTGAAGCCTCTAAATGTGAAGGATGAATCTAAGAAACAGCCATTGAACACTAAAACAGCGATTTATATCAACATTCACTGTCAACAAGGCAAACAAAGTCATGTTACAAAAACTGCTGTTTTATTTGATCAACAGCTGCAAAAACAGTACAGCCAGAAAAGCTGGACCCTTAAAGAGTCATTCTCCTCTTCATCAAGTCCTCTGCTGCCTAATTCAGCTCTTAGGGGTTCTTTCCATCATTTACTTCTGGAAACAGTAAAAGACAAGCAGCAGGGTTTCCAAAAGTCTGAACTGTGAACAGCAGGAGCTGAAGAATCAAAACAGGATGTAACTGAAACTATTCCAACTCCAATAGCATATACTTAAAGAATATGTTCCAGTGGCAATTCTGGTGGGTGTTGCAGGAAGTAAAAGGAACAGTTTATCCATTTTTAAAATATGGTATTTACCCAGTCATGATTCATGTGTAAGTCTCAAAGTTCTATAAATCTCAAGTAAAAAAAGGTTACCAGGACCCCATTACAAGAGAAGGTTTGAATAGTTAGGTGAGTTTTTAAATTGTAACTTTTTATGTCATTATAGACAGTATTTTGGTCCACAAAATGTTAACAGAATACATACATTTCAGAATAAGAAAATCAGAAAAAAGCTGAAAATGAATAGCAAGGGGGCTAGAGGCTTTTGTGAGGTGTAAGCAATAAAGACAGAAAGGAAGAGGCTGTGAGGAGCCAAGGAGGGTCACTAAGTGAAGCAAGGTATTTCATACATACAACTTTACTAAATTCTTATCTTTTTCCCTCCTCCTCCCCTTAATCAAATCTACCACACATTGCTAGCAGGTAGCAATAGTTCTCAATCCTGGCTACACTTTAGAAAAATCTGGAGAGCTTTTAAAAATACCCCCGCCCCTGGGCCATATCCCAGTCCAATGAAATCAGGATATCCGGCAGTGTGGGATCTGCACATCAGTATTGTTTTAAATTCACTACGTAACTCCAATGTTAGGTAAGATTGAAAGCCACTGACTAATAGGTAGTTGATATAATTAGGCAACTAACTATGGAGCTTCCTGTACTATAAAAGAAGAGCTTGTTTACCCTTGCATAACTTCAAATGACAGAACAGGACAGATATGTCTGTGTTTTCTAGAAAATATCCTGGTGTTCCTTGCTCACTGTTGGTCACTATACTGTGCCCTGCTACTTTTATTTTTTTAAATCATTGCAATCTTAAAGTTACAAGATTCCCCAATTGTTAACATTACGCCTTATTTATCATACTTTCTATATGTTTACAAGTTTTTACCCTGAATTATTTTAACAGTAAGCTGCAGACATCATGTCTCTTTAGCTCTAAATATGTCGGTGTATCATCTCTAAGAACAAGGAATTATCTTATATAATCGTAATACAATGATCAAAATCAGGAAATTTAATATTGATACATCATCATATAAACCTTACTCAAAGGTTTTGATAATGTCATTTATAGCAATTTGACACCCATCCCCCTTGGGCCAAGATCCAATTCAGGATCATGCATTACATTTATTGTCATGCCTATTTAGTCTCCTTTAATCTGAAAACAGTTCTTCAGCCTTTGTCTTTCAAGATCACAATTTTTTTTCTTCTTAAAAGCACAGGCCAGTTATTTTATAGAATGTTCTGTTTGGGTTTCTTCATGATTACACCGATGTTATGCATTTTGGCAAGCATAATTCATAAATGATGGCGTGCTCTACTCAGTGCATCACATCAAGAGGAAAATGATGTTAATTTGTTCCATTACTGATATTAACACCAAATACTTGGTTAAGGTAGCAATTGCCAGGCTTTGAAATTGTAAAGCTACTATCTTTCCCCCTTGTAATTAGTAATTTTTGAAAAGATACTTTTGAGACTATTTAAATATCCTATTCCTCATCAAACTTTCACCTGCCAGTTATTTTAGGATTTACTCATGACTCTTGCCTGAATCAACTACTACTATGATTTATGTGTACATATGTATTTATTATTCAATAGTTTACAATCCACTTCTCTGATCACTTTTTTAAATTCTCAAATTATCTCCAAGTTGGCCAGTGGTAGCGCCTTCATACTATGCTGCTCCTTGACACACGTCATCATTGTTTGAGTACTTCTTTGCTTTTGCTTTCTGGCACAAGATGTTCATGTTTATCCTGTACTTTCCCTTGACCCGGCCTTGGAATCAGTCATTTCACCAAGGAGTCCTGATTTCTTTTAGTGGGAAACAATATTTAGAAACCAAGGTCTGGAATTAGGTGTCCTTTGCGTCCCCTCTGACTTGGAAGACATTAGGATATTTAACACATTACCAATGTTAGGGCAGAAGATGTGATTGTACATAGTAGGCACCCAATAAATATTTATTGAAAAAATGAATAAATCAAAGTAGGAGGACACTGTAGCGTGCTTTTCAAAACCAAACTCAGTTAATCTGGGGAAGTTAGGAGGCGAAGGCCAGTAAACAGCACAAAGGAAACCAGAAAGAGCAATGTCGGGGCTGAGAAGCTATCTCATTCTAGCCACTGGAGGAGAGGAGAAAAGGTACATTTGAGAAGGCAATCTGTTAGAGAATAAGAGGAATGGTAGCTGGTGTCATGCCCAGAATACTTCAGTAAACAACAGAAAGAGCTAAATAGAAAAGCACAGAATGCTGATCCTGAGGAAGAAATAAAGCTCAGCCGAGGGGCAAAGCAGGCTGAAAAGACCTCAACCAGTCTGCTTTTGATGGAAGGGCCATCTATAGCACTAGAAAAGAGCTATTTTACTTAGGAACACTTTTACAAAAGATAAAGAGGTTGGGCTTTCCCAAGATTCCTTAGTTCCTAGGCTAACGCTCACATATATAAAACCAGTATTATATTTCTGATTACAAAATGATAAAGCTAATAAATTCAAAGCTACTCAAGGAATCTATGACCGAAAAATCATACCACTGATTTTATAGGTTTCCTATTTTAAGTTCAAAGAATATAGCTAGACAAAGCCTAGCCAAAGAGTGAGTTAGATTTATATGGAGGGATATGAAAATATCAAGTTTCTTGCATTGTTCTGCACGACCGCATTTTCTTCAAAGATAAACTTTAAAAAATCATATGTATTAATACAATGCATACGCATTGAAAGAGATTGAGGATACGCACTATGTTCCCCCCAGGAACAGGAATAGGGAGGGAGAGAACTTTTCATGTTTACTTTGTACATATCTATTTTCAATAGCATTCCTTGTTATAAAATGTTTATTTCCAAGTAAAAAACTGAGAGAATAAATGTGCTCAGATATATCAATTTTCAGTGGATCAATGTTGGATCCCTTCCTTTTACTAAGACAAAACCTTTAAATAAAATTAAAAACCTATACTTCAGCTGGGTTGGAGTGGCTCAGTTGGTTGAATGTCGTGCTGTGCACCAAAAGGTTGCCAAATCAATTTTCAGTGAGGGCACATACCTGGGTTGGGGGTTCAATTCCCAGTCGGGGAACGTAGGGAAGGCAACCAAGTGATATTTCCCTCCCACTCCCCTTTCCTCTCTCTAAGCATATCCCCGGTGAGGATAAGTAATAAATAAATAAATAAATAAATAAATAAATAAATAAATACCTATACTTTAAATTCCTCAATACACTTTTCTGTAGTAGTAGATCTCCAATGAGATTGTCCACAACATGCATGTCTGAGTAAGTCAGAAAGACTGTAACTTTACACCATAGGAGGTCAGAAACACCATAGTCTTACACCATAACTTTTGAAGGATCTCAAAGCTTTGATCAGGGTCTCATACTTACCTTTTTTATTGGTTGTGAAGTACTTGGAGTCAGTCATGGTGCCGGTTCTTTAAAGTGCACCTACAGCAAGAGAAAAGAATTCCTTTATCCAAGTTATATCTAGCAACGCATAAATTAGTTTTAAGAACATTTATATATTAGAACATCTGTGTTGAAAAATGAGTGTCTTCTCCCTTACCACACATGATGGTGATTCAAGGGTTACAAAGATAATTAAGAATGTAACTCTTGCCTTAAGGAGCTAATTGGGGCAAAATCCAAAAGCCAAATGAAATGGAGTAATAATATGAACCTATGATGGCTTTGTGATTTTTATCTACAATTGTCTCCTGAAAGCCTCCAAGACCTAAAACTAGACCTTTTTGTAAATACATCTTCAGTTAGTCACTCAAATATTTAAGATATGGAAAAGTTTGTTTTGCGAGAACTCCCTATTACATTCCATTCAGAAAAATCTGATTTATTTCCCTGCCTCAAGATGAAGTCACTTCAAAACATGTATTCTGGCCCTGGCCAGTGTGGCTCAGTTGGTTGGGTGTTGCCCCATGCACCAGAAGGATGTCGGTTGGATTCTGAGTCAGGGCACATGCCTGGGTTGTGGGCTTGATCCCCCGTAGGGGGTGTGCAGGAGGCAGCCGATGGATGCATCACTCTCATATCAATGTTTGTCTCTTTCCCTCTCCCTTCCTTGCGCTCTAAAAATCAATTAAAAGTCTTTAAAAAACAAGCATATATATTCTGGAGCAGTATAAGGTAAAGGAAGAAGAAAACAATTCTGCCAATCTATTCACCATTATGTACAACTTTCAATAAAAGGAACCTAAAAAACACACACCAAAACTCTAAATTAGAAACTCTGACAACAGACATCTAGAGAAACAAACATGTTTTACCCATGGATTTTTTTTTAAACTATAATTTTTGTATTTCCAACACTCTACATTTAGCCCAACAGTATTCCCAAAGAATAAATATCAATGTACAATTAAAAACAAGGCAAAAAACTGAGATATTTGTTTAGTCACATTGGGTACAAAAGAGAATCAGAGCTGATATTAAAACTTAAAAGAACACAGGTCCCAGCCTCAACTTTAACCCTTCTGTTCCAATTTCCAGAAATAATCTAGCTGACACACTGCTCTATCAATAAACAATAACAGTATGCACTGGTCACATTTCTCCCCACATGAGAAAATGTTTTCTAATTGCTGAAACTCATAGTAGTAAGACTTTTGTCTAACATACCTAACTTCTTTGAATACACTGAAATTTTCTTCTAAAAGTATTTTTTCTGCACTCAAAACTGAGTATCTTCTTCTTTACCACCATAATTAACAATGCTAATTACCAAATTTAGGACAGATGCCCTGGTACCTGTTAATTACTGTCAGGTCAAAACAACACAGGTGATAATATATATGGCAAACCTGAGTGATAACATATTTGGCAAAAAACAGTAAATATGGATCTGAGAAAAATGACCTAAGCACGAAACAAATCAATGTAATTAAGGAAAAGAAAAAACAGCCAGAAAACATAAATTAATGAAAAAGCTTGGTTCAAATCATCTCTAAAATGTGCTGCTTGAACAACCTAAGAGAAATTAAGACTCATTTGCTATCTTTCTAAGCAGTTACCTTACTATTTACAGTCCTCATACAATGGTGCTTTAGGTTTTATCAGAATGTCACTGAATTACCTTGTTAAAAGAAGTGAGCTAGAACTCACAACAAATATCATTATAAAATGCAGAAATTTATTTTCATCAAATAGTTAATAGTTAATAGTTAATTAACACCTGTAGCAGAGGCTTGTCTTACACAATATTTTCATAATGCCTTCCTACCAAAAACTTAAAGAATGTATAATCACTTAATCTGTTCACAATGTAAACTAAATGTGGAGTCGGCAAATTGAGAAAAGGAGTTCACATAAAAGACCTGGAATAAATCTGAAATTATCATCTGAGAACTTACATATATAAAAAGAAAAACCAGTATACAGAAATGATTACTAGAGCCTGACAGAAGGGCTGTAGCTCAAGGCTGTTATGGTCTGTGATGTTATTATGCCATTCTAAGTCCTATAGGACCACCAAAACTTAAAACTTGCTTAAGATTTAAAAACAAAATCTGCTTGGAATTTTTCACCCAGTTTCTTTGAAAAATGGCACAAAAATCACTGTTTGCTTAAAGCTCTCATACACTTACACATGTGTTAAATTCTTAAAAGTTTTCAATACAGTCTGTTAAACATTAAATTAACCTAGTCTTAAATGCTACTTTTATTAATGACCCACACATTCCATTACTTCCCCTAACAAACTTCATTGTCAAGGAATATATTTCTGTTCTATTCATTGTTAGCATTAAGTGTTCTTAACTAGAGATTAATGTACCAACCCACAAAATTTCAGGGAATAGGAGGGACTCAAAAGTAATCTTTTTTTTCTTTTTAAGATATATCTGTATTAATTTCAGAGAGAAAGGGAGAGGGAGAGAAAAAAAGAGAGAGAGAAACATCAATGATGAGAGAACTGTCATTGATCGGCTATCTCCTGCATGCCCCCAACTGGGGATCAAGCACACAACCTGGGCATGTGCTCTTAATTTATATTCTAAATTAAGAATCCCTGCTCTTAAAGAGAAAGGGAAAATATATCACTCTCTTAACTCACACTCTGTAAACACCAGTAATGGAATATCCCTCACCCATATTGGTAGGGAAACACTGCATCAGGCAAGTTCCCTTAAACCAAAAGAAATTAAAAGAAAAATGAAAATAATCTAAACAAAAACAAATATGAGGTGGTGGTTGCACAACACTGTGAATGTCACTTCAAAAAATTATGCTTGGCGGGGCATGGCTCAGAGGTTGAGCATTGATCTAGGATCCAGGAGATCATGGTTCGATTCCCAATCAGGCACACGCCTGGATTGCGGGCTCAATCCCCAGTTGCAGGTGTGTAGGGAGCAGCCAGTCAACAACTCTCTCACCACTGATGTTTCTGTCTCTCCCTCTCTCTCCCTCTCTCTGAAATCAATAAAGATATATATATATTTTAAAATTACATTAGTATATATATTTTAAAATGAGATACACTTAATCACATGCCAGAGATGGACATAACCAGATTCTCCTAAATATAGGATGGTGAAAACTGTTGTCTGCATTAGAAGCCAAAGAAAAAGTAGTCAAGACAGAGCTCAAGAAGAAAATCAAGTATTTGCTGGAGTCAAAAATCAAGCT